GCTTGCTATTTTTTTTTTTTAAATCTAAAATTAATGAAAAAAAATAATTAAAAATTTAAGTACCTATAAAAATATATATATATTATTATATATTTAGTATGCCATTTTTTTAATTGTGCGACTTACTTGTGTTATATTATAATCATTTTTAACGTACAACATATAACTACATTAAACATAAATATATAAATTGAGAAATAATTTTATTTTTCTAATGAATTTTAATATATATTATTACTTTTTATTATTAGAAAGATAAATATTATTTATTTATTTCATATATACAATATGAATGTCAAATCGAAGATCATCAAAAGATGATTAATTTGATATACTATATATGTAAAACCGATAAGGAATACAAAAGTTATCAACTTTTAAAATACATTTATAATTAAATAACTAATTGAAGGAAACAAATCAAAAGTAGGGATATATTAGTCACTTAATGTCTCACTATGTAAAATTATAAAGAATTAAAGGGTTATATTAGTACAAGTGATATTAAAATACCTAAGTTAGCTATTTAATATTTATAGAATGTCCGAACCTAGATTATTAATTATTAATATATCAATATTATTTGTCTGAACCTAATTACGAAGCATGATTCTTTGCCAAGTAGGATTACGAAACAACCGAAACAGCCATCCATGTAGGCCCAACACTTTCTGAAATAATATATAGGGAGGATATAGGGATGATTATTAAATTTAAATAATCTCCAAATATATATATTCTTACTTAAATTTTATATTACTAGTATGTAACCCGTGCGATGCACGGACTGTATTTACTTTGGAGAATATTAAAAATTAAAATACATTAATAAATAAAAGAGTGATAATTCGTAGGAAAATTATCAAACCATCAAATGTTTCTCATGCAAAAAAATATATTATTTAAACTTTCTTGTACACAACATTATTTGTTTAATAACTGAGCAACTCGTCGTCCTCAGAAACTAATATTTTCAACACTTTTCTATTATTTACACGCGAAACAAACAACATAATTGTCCGTGACTAAAAATCAATTTCTTTAACAACATGTCAACGTACAATAAATGTCGACCTTGACTTTTCTTGATCTATTACTTAACATGCCAACGTACAATAAATGTTGACCTTGACGGAACTCCATCTGTCACCAATCTGTTGCTGATCCAAATATTAAGTTGGAATGAATTTTTCATTGGAATTTCCATTGGATTTTGACGATTCTAACGGTGGATTTTTCAACGGGGTAGAAATAAAAATTTCAACGAAATTTGCATATTCAAACGAAAATTCCTACGGTAAAAAAAAAAAACCATTGGAAATATAGCAGTTGAAAACATCAAATTTCTAATATTGACACTCACTCTTGTTTATCGTTATGACAATATAAATGAATATTTATATAAGTAACTTAATCTTTGAAATGTAGTGATCGTGTGTTATTTTTTAGTTTCGTGATTGATGGACTCTTTTATTAATTAGTTAGTTTGAATCAATATATAACAAATTTTGTTGCTAATCGTTATTAGAGTTTTTAAATTAATTTGTGTAAATGCATAAATAAAAAGAGACCTAAACTATGAAATTTTTTCCATCTTTTGAAATCAAATAAATGACAAACACTATCTTTTAAAATAAATAATGATAATGATTATAAAATTGTATTATCAAAACCGATAAGGTATATAAAATTCGTTTTCCTTTTCATATCGATAATGAAGAAAAAAGTCTAATTGGTGAAAAGATGATATATACAAATCATGATTTTAAAAATCTGATATATATACAGATCTTAGCATGCGGTTTCAAATAATTTAATATAATAATATACTGAATGAATTATGATTCAGATTCATGTAAAGAAAATTTTGAACAGATTTATAAAATCATGATATATACAAATCATGATTTTTCTTGGAGATTTACTCGGATTTTCAAATTGTTTGAAAATCACGATTTCTAAGATCATGATTTATTCTGATTTACATTCGGATTTTCAAATTGTTTGGAAAAATAGAAGATTTATTCCGATTTTGATTCCTTATTGTTTACCAATATAAAAATATTTGATGTTATTAATAAAAAAAAAAGGAAAAAGGTCTGATTTACTATTTTTAGGAGATAATTAATGAAAGTGGCGGGAAATTATTTCTAAATTTGATTTATGTTAATCCTTATTATATAGGATTAACATTAATGTTAACATATTTGTTAACATATAAGTAACATATATGTTACTTTCACGTAAATACTAATATATATATATATATAAATTATTTCTAACAATTATTAGAAATATGATTGATTCTTAAAAAGAAGCTTTAATTGAAAATTATTAATTAAATGTTTTAAATGTATTTTAAAAATTTTTAAAAATACGTATGGTAAGTGTATTTCTTAAATTAAATGTATTAAGTGTGGTAAGTGTATTTCCTAGATTTATTTTGGTTTTGATTCCATATATGTTATTGTAATCCTAAACAAAATTGGATAAAAAAGTATGTTAATAAATAGAGATTTTGTTAATTTACTATTTTTAGGCAATAATTAATGAAATTGGCGGGAAATTATTTCCAAAAATGAATTATGTTAATCCTTATTATATATTAATAGATTTAAAAAAAATCAAGAATAAGTAAAAATCTAAATTATTTATTTAGGCGGAATTTCCTTCCCATATAAGGGTTCGGTTAAATCTTCCTGTCTCAAACTATCTCGCTCTAAAATCTCCCACAAAACCTAATTCTCCATAAAAAAAATCTCCTAAACTCAAACCATCAATCAGTGAAGAATGGCGAGTCTAGAATGTAGGATGTATGAGGCTAGGTACCCGGAGGTGGACCAGGCGGTGATGATACAGGTGAAGAGCATGGCCGACAGCGGCGCGTACGTCTCACTCCTCGAGTACAACAACATCGAGGGCATGATTCTCTTCTCCGAGCTCTCTCGCCGCCGTATCCGTAGCATCAGCAGCCTCATTAAGGTCGGCCGTATCGAGCCCGTCATGGTGCTCCGTGTCAATAAAGAGAAGGGTTACATTGATCTGAGCAAGAGGCGTGTGTCGGAAGAGGATATTCAGGCGTGCGAGGAAAGGTACA